ATTATTCTCCAAAGCATCAGAGGGCAGGGCAAAAAACAATGGATGGAAACTAGTCAAAGAGAGAAGCAATCTGGAATTTAAGAGAAACTTCCTAACAGTGAGGACAATTAAGCAATGGAACAGCTTGCCTTCAGAAGTTATGGGTGCTTCATCACTGGGAAGGGACCGGACAGCCATCTGACTGAAATGGTATGGGGCAGGGATGTCAAATTCGCAGCCCGCAAGCTGGATGCATCACTTGCTGGCCACGCCCACCCCCGTTTTAACGAAGGGGGGAAAAGTCGCAATATGTCACATGACGACAATGTGACGATCCGAGTTTGACACCCCTGGTATAGGGTCTCCTGCTTGAGTAGGGGGCTGGACTAGAAAGCCTCCAAAGTCTCTTCCAGCTCTATTCTGATTGATTGATTTTTTCCCCCCAGTCCATCAGTTTCCAAGAGACCACAGCATTGCAAACGAAACTATTTGAAATTGATTTTCTTAATAAGAGTATTTAAATTGTGACTGAGACCTTCTTCCTCCTGCTTGAGAATGGGCGGAAAAGGCCTTTGCTGATATGACATATACAGTTAAAGACATGTGATCCCACAGATATAAACTGTGTGTTTTTTCTGTTAGGGATTTCCCACCCTGAACCCTACCACTTATGCACAGTCTTGTACGTTCTATTTATTTTGCTCGCATTTCAACCTCACCCTAACAGCACTTAGGACAGCTGCCAACAATAACATCACAGTTCAGTTGATTATGTGCCACCAAGTCATTTTTGACTCCTAGCAACCACATAGATAGAGTTTCTCCATGACAATCTGTCCTTCACCTAGTCTTTCAGCTCCTACAATGGTGCACTTAGTGTCACTGTAACTCAGTCCATCCACTTCGTTGGCTGGTGATTACTGGGAGTTGAAGCCCAAACATTTTAAAAGTTGCTAAAGTTGAGAAGAGAAGATCCACCCTATACTAACAGTGCTCTCCCTTTAAAATGCTTCCCTTTAAAATGTTCTGCAAGTCGTCTTGGCTGATGCTTTCCTAATCAAAGCCTAACAGATTTCCTTTCTCTTTTGCTTCCCCTTGTGGGCGATACCTTGACTTTCTATCCCATACTGTTGCCTGTATTTAGTTTTGAACTCCAGCTGTCAGAATCTACCGTGTTTCCCCGAAAAGTTTTTTGAACCCTGAAATAAGCGCTTGGCCTTGTTTTCGGGGAGGTCCTATTGTTTTGGGGCATGTGGAGTAAGACAGGGCTCCTCTTACCGTCTTACTTGATTTCCAGCTCTGTCTCCCTTACCCTAACCAGAGGAAATGGCGGGGACCAGTTGCGCATGCAGTTAAATATTTTTGGGGAGGGCTTATTTTCAGGGGAGGGCTTATTTTTGGGGAAGGCTTATTATTTTGGGGCATGTGGAGCAAGACGGGGCTCCTCTTGCCGTCTTACCTGATTTCCAGCTCTATCTCCCTAACCTTAACCAGAGGATATGGCGGGGACTGGCTGTGCATGCGATTAAATATTTTTGGGAAGGGCTTATTTTTGGGGAAACACGGTATACAGAGGGAAAACCAGTCAAGGCAGGCAGAGTTGAGCTTTCTGGCTCTGAATGAGTAAGATAGATATTTCCCCTGCGGTTGAAAGTTTTGATTCCTTCTAACCTCTGCTGGGTTTTTTTTTGCCTGCAAGAGAAAATTAAAATTTCAATAGACATGAGAAGCTGTTTGTTTCTCCCTTGCACAAACCAGGCCTCCCCAGTGAGATTGAAGCCCGCCTGCCCTAACACTGTGGGGGCAAGATGGACACCCTCTCCATCATCTCCTCACACCTATCCCAAAGTTGCTTTTCCAAAAGGCAACTGGACTTTCTTGTTTTTTTTTTTCTTGAGAACGTTTCGCTTCTCATCCAAGAGGCTTCTTCAGTTCTAACTGAATGTGGGGAATGCAAGGATTTATATTCTTTGCAGTCATTTGGGTCGCTAATATTCTGTGGGTCGGTCATTAGCTTTCAAGAAAGTCCAGCTGCCTTTTGGAAAAGCACCTTTGGGACAACTATGACTTGGACGAATCTCCATAGGCTCCTCACATCTATGTGGCTAGAGAAGATGGGAGTCTTATTTCAATGCATATGAAAAGCAGAGACTGGGTAAAGCAGGGATCTCCAACCTTGGCAACTTTAAGCCTGGAGGACTGCAAAGCTGGCTGGGGAATTCTGGGGGTTGAAGTCCTCCAGGCTTAAAGCTGCCAAGGTTGGAGACCCCTGTGATAAAGGACTCTAGTTCTCAGCTTGCCTGCAAGTGTTCTTACTGAGAGCTACAGAGTTAGTATCTGCCAAGGTTATCAGCCTTGATGCTCTCACTTCCTCTGCAGAAAATCAAATTGCTCCCTAACCGCAGTGAAATGCTTTATTCTGTAGTTTCTCTGCAGTTGTGAGTCACTTGGGGGCCTGCTATGAATAGTGAATTCATTTACTGAATGTTAATCAAAGTGTGTGTGCTGGTGGTGGGGTCGTCCATGTGTATGTGAATGTTTTAAAAGTGCAAATGAGCAGCTTTGTGGAACCCGGAGTTTTAAATTCCTCCCCTCCTGTTGAATTATATTTTTCCAACGCTCTGCATGAAATATTTACTGTCACTTAAGAAGAACATGCGAGTGGGTGAATCTGATGAGTATCATCCCATAATACTTTTGAGCATTCTTATCTATTCGTTTGTGTTTCTGTAGCAATCTAAAGGTTTTCTTGGGAAAAAAAGCTCAAAACACTGTATTTAAAATGTCAATTCCTCTCTCCCCTTCCCCCAAAATGTCATATTTAAGAGTTTTATCTCAAATAAAACTCATGCATAATTATGATGCATTTAAATCACTAAGACTTGTGTTGTTGGCATGGTTTTGTAGTTAACAGTATGATACCAGGACAGAGAAGAGGGTTCTAGGTTCAAACTGCACCTCAGCCGTCAAGCTAAATTTAGATGTGTGTGGATTCATCTGTTGTGCTAAAACATGACGTATGTTTAATTTTATCTCGGTATGATATGTCTATCCAACTGTCACAGCATGTAACATGTGAACTGTGTATATATGTTTACTTCTCTTCTGTCACGTTCTCATCGTACTAAATAATAATAAGCATGTAATCCAATGTGATTGGATTCTATGAAAACCTCAAATTTATGATTTAACAAATAATATTTTTTTTTAAAAAAAACTAGGTTAGGTCACTAATGCATAAGGCTACTATGAGGATTAAAAAAAAATGGGAGAAGAGATATTTTGTAGGCCCTTATTGTTCTGTCTGTTCGTTCATTCGTTCATTCATTTCATTTCATTCATTCATTCATTCATTCAATTTCTATAACCATCTAACTCAATCAATGACTCTGGATGGCTTACAATTCCAAAACAATAAAAGCAATTAAAAGCATTTAAAAGCAATAGCAAAGGACTGACTCTTACAAAAACCCAGCTTGGTTGGGGTAAGTAGATCCCTGAAGTTTAACATTCACCCTTACCTGTCCAAAATGATATGAAAAATTCCTACAACAAGGATAGAAACACGTTGAAATTTGAAATAAGTAAACACAATGCTTTAAAAACAATCCTACTATATTACAAGTCAGCCAGATGTAATCTTTGCTTTTGCCAATAAACACAAAATTATAGAATGAAGGCTTTCATTAGTTTATTTGTGAATTCTCTTATGGTTTTTAAGGAGGGGGAAAATATGCTTGGAGAAAATCCAGGTGAAAAGTTATCCGTGTCATAATTATTTCAATTCTGGCTGCAGTTGTTGTGGATTAGATGGGTTAGATTAGAATTATACAATTTTGATAATATTATGTAACATTTTTAGTAGATACCAAAAAGAAGAAAAAGAAGATGAAGGGTTTAGAGATTACGGTATATTAACAAATCATGTGGGATGATTTATTGATCCAAACCTGTTTGTATTCACTTGATGGGAAATAGAAAAGTTCTTTCTGGCCTCCAACCAGCTTCCCATCATATATCCAGGGCTCTTGGACATCAAAGATAGCATTTTGAAAAGACTGTGATCATGATGATTATTATCCATTCAGTTGTGTCCGACTCTTGGCAATTCTATGGGCCACATCTTCTGATCTTGCATTACTTCTCTGAGTTTTTCTATCCTATGGTGAAAAATTATGCTGAAAAGGCTATGTGGAGGCCAATTTCATGCTATAATTTTTCTTTTATTCATGTGGCATAGTAATGATACTGCATGGGTTTATGGGCATTGGCTGGCATATCATTACAGGTAGTCCTCGACTTACAACAGTTTGTTTAGTGACTGTCCAAAGTTGCAATGGCACTGAAAAATGTGACATGAGTGTTTTTCACCATTATGACCTTTGCAGCAGCCCCATGATCAAGTGATCAAAATTCAGATGCTTGGCAACTGGTTCATATTTATGACCGTTGTTGTGTCCCAAATTCAGGTGGCCAACTTTTGCGACCCTCTGACAGGCAAAGTCAATGGGGAAGCCAGATTCACTTAACTGGTTAACTAGTAACCTGGTTACTAACTTATCAACTGCAGTGATTCACTTAACAATTGTGGCAAGAAAGGTCGTAAAATGGGGCAACAGTCACTTAACAAATGTCTCACTTAACAATTGAGCCCAACGTTGGGCTCAATTGGGATGGTAATTCAAGGACTACCTGTATGCATTTTGAATGCATATGATTGTCAGATCCATTTGTTAGTACCAGTATCTGGTGACACTAGAGTGAGTTCAGTGGATTTATTTATTTATTAAATTTGTTTGCCACTCACCTCACTGCAAGGCAACTCTGGGGGATGTGGGGGGGAAATGGGTTGTTTTTTCTCAATTTTAGCACTTCTAAAATAATTGATTATTGGGAGAATAAAACATGGAGCTTCTGAAAGACTGGATAAAATCCATATCTCTGTAAATCAACCATCTTTTATTCTTTTTCCCTCCTTCCCATTGGCTGCGCTTTGTGGATCCCCCACTGGAAACCTGTAGAACTTCCAGCTGAAGAAGGTAAGCTTGATTCCTGTTTGCAATCATTTGATTATCTCTTTCTTTCTTTCTTTCTTTCTTTAACTTCTATGTCCCCCATCTTGCCAAGGTGACTCTAGGCAGTTTACAATCATATAATATTTTAATAAGGAGGGGAGGACTCATAGACCATGTGGGAGACAAAGAAGAGAAAGTTGAGTTCAAATCATAGGTCATCCATGAGCTTCTTTGGACTGATCTTGAGATCACTGCTGTCTTTTAAATAATCTACAATATTTTGCAGGTACATTATAGGTGTATTGCTTTTTTGCCCCTCATGGGATGAATAAAGTGATAATAGTGGAGACATGATAGCAGTGTTCCAATATCTCAGGGGTTGCCACAAAGAAGAGGGACTCAAAGTATTCTCCAAAGCATCTGAGGGTAAAACAAGAAGCAATGGGTGGAAACTAATCAAGGAGAGAAGCAACTTAGAATTAAGAAGAAATTTCCTGACAGCGAGAACAACTAATCAGTGGAACAACTTGCCTCCAGAAGTTGTGAATGCTCCAACACTGGAAGTTTTTAAGAAGATGTTGGATAACCATTTGTCTAAAGTGGTGTAGGATTTCCTGCCTAAGCAGGGGGTTGGACTAGAAGACCTCCAAGATCCCTTCCAACTCTGTTATTCTATTCTAAGATACCCACCAGTGTGATCTGGATGGGAAATGCTTTATGTAATCAGTCTGAGAGGATGATCATGTTTACCATGATGGGTCCTTGGTGCTTTCTGAGCTTGGTTGTAACATCATCAGTGTACTGAAGATGTTACCTAGTTTGGGTAATGAAACATCTGCAAGAAAACAACCAAGCTCAGAGAGCACCAAGGACTCATCATTTCATCCCTGAGCTACAAATATTCTCCTTTATCTATATTCTGTTTATCATGAATTATATCTTTATATGGTGGCATGTTTACCATAAAATGAGTGGTTCTTGCACTAATGTCCCAAGTTGTGACAAAAGGGCCTACTGTAGTCTGGACACCATTTGTCTAAATGTCCCACTCTTTGTATTGCTCCATTGGTGTTACTCCTCTGCATAAAAAATGAGACTAGTATTAGTGATTACATTCTAGTTTTCTCCCTGACGTGTTACATTTTTGCTGTGCCAGGATTTTTATTGGTGTTCAGGTTGGTTTATATACTTTTAAAAATACCATCCAATAACAATTCCTTGCTTTTGAAGATCAAACATAAGTCTCCTATTGTCAGAGGGAGGTAGAAGCATACCTAAGTTTGCATTTCCCCCCCCCTTTCTGACAGAATTAGTTTTATCTATAGTTTTTTTATGCATCCTACTTTTTAAATACATATGTAAGGGGTATTTCTGGGATAGAAAGATAGAAAACTGATGGCAGAATAAAGCCTAATGTTCCATTGAGTCTGCCCTTTGACTGTATTTGTCTTTATAATGTCTTTTTAATTAATTTTTTAATTATTATTTTAAAATTTTATTAATCTTCATTTTATTTTATATTTTTGTCATATGATGGGCATGTGTTTGTCAGTTACTGACATGTTTAAACTCAGTTACTGATGATTGAACCAGCAGCTGAAGTTGGTTCCAAGTTTCTACTGTTCTCTTTGTGAAGTAATACTTTCTAACAACACTTTTGAACTTCCCACCTCCCAGTCTGAGGTTATGCCCCCATGTTCTTGATTTTCACTTATTTTCTGCTGATTTTTTTTATTATTCTAACAAGAGATTTCAATTAACTTTCTAGGAAAATCACTTCTGGAGCTAATATTGGAGCAGTTTGAAGATCTCCTAGTACGCATCCTTCTCTTGGCTGCTTTCGTTTCCTTTGTAAGTATGTTTACCTCATATTTGAAAATTGTTTTCTTTATTTATCAAACTTCTAGATCGCCCATCTCACTTGCATGCCTCTAGGCGGCTGACAGATCAAACGGTAAAATGATATAAAAACTATACTCAAAAACTAAGTTTAAAAAAGCTCTTCAGATGATTTCCTAGTAACTAAATGTTCAACCCACAGAACAGGAGTGTCAAACTCGATTTCATTGAGGGCTGCATAAGGGTTGTGTTTGACCTTGGGGGGTGGGGGGTGGCCAGGGGGCATGGCCAGCTCAATGTCACTCATGTCCGGGGTGCCTGTAGTGGCCCAAGTGCTCTGTCAGCGGAAATGGGCTCCCGAGCTCTGTTTTTGGCTGCGACAGCTTCCTGCAACCCTCTGCCAGCAAAAATGGAGGCGCCCCCCCCCCCCTGAACTCCGTTTTCGCTGGCAGAGGCACTGTTGGCCGGTCCTTCTCTGTTTCCAGGGCAGCCCCGTGAGCCAGATCTAAGCACCCCACGGGCCAGATTTGACCTGTGAGCCTTGAGTTTGTCACTCATAGAACATGAGTACAAATACAGATGCTGACCTGGTTCAGCCCAAACCAGGAGACAAGTTGCTAATCTCACAGAAAAAGCTTGGTTTTTCTAGTTAATTTAGGAGTGAAATATCATAGCAGCACAGAAAATTGCCACATATCTAGTCAGATCATGGTCCTCTAGCTCAGCCCCATTTGTACAGATTTCTAGGGCTGGGCTGAGTGGAAACTTTTATTTTATTTATTTATTTATTTGTATCCCACCTTTATTATTTTTACAAATAACTCAAGGCGGCAAATGTATCCAACACACCTTCCTTCTCCTATTTTCCCCACAGCAACAACTTTGTGAGAAGGGTTGGGCTGAGAGAGAATGACTGGCTCAAAGTAACCCAGCTGACTGTTATGATTAAGGTGGGACTTGAACTCACAGTCTCCCACTTTCTAGCCTGGTGCCTTAACTTCTAGACCAACCTGGCTCTCAGTTTATCCTTTCATCCCTTTCAGAAATACCTTATTACAGGGGAGGGAGGGGTGTCTTTGAATTTGGAAGAATTTTTTTTTACAGTTTTCTTTTCACTTGTAGCTGAAATTTAGCTTCTTGTTCAAAAATGTATTAATTGTATTGGAAATCTTAGGTGATATTTTTTTCTTATCATGATTTGCTTGTCAAGGAGCCCTAAGAAGAATGAGCCAAAGGACATTTCATGTCTATTTTTAATTTTACAATTGCCTGTTTCTTATTAGCCTAAATAATTTGCATATCTGTAATGCAATTTGCAAGGTATTTTATGAAAAGAAATCCCTTAAATATAATCCACATGCTAAAAGCAGGAATGGAAAAAAGAAATAAAGACTTTTATTTTATTTTTGAGCAGTGGCAAAGGGGCTACCTGTGCCTTGTAGTACCTCCCTGGACAAAAACAACTTTCAAGACTTTTTTTCCCCTAGTTTTTTAGGGTGAGTGCTACTTGTGTAGATTTTTAAAGGCTGTGGAATGGCCAACAAACCTATTATCCTTAATTACTTCCTCTCTCAAAAAAAAACTAGACAATATGCTATCAAATTAAAACAAAGCCACACAAGCTTGGTGAGCTCCAATCGTGCACCAAAAATGTGTAATCCTGCCTTAAAGTAATATTGCATAAGGAAGGCTGTCCCATCCCCTTCCTGTTTGAGGAAGCATTTCGCATCTCCTTTAAAGATTAAAAAAAGATTTTTTTGCGTTTTTGTTTTGTTTGGGGAATTCTTTCAAGAATACTACTACGGTACTTAACATCTACAGATAATCCTTGATTTACAACCATTCGTTTAATGACCGTTTGAAGTGACAGTGGCACTGAAAAAAGTAACTTACAAAAGGTCCTTGCAGCATCTCCACTGTCATGTGATCAGAATTCAGGATACAGAAGCACTGTAAAGCGGTATATAAGTCCAAGTGCTATTGCTATTGTTATTGAGGTGTTTGGCAACTGACATATATTTATGATGGTTGTAGCATCCTGGGATCATGTGATTGCCATTTATGACTCTCCCAGTTGGCTTCTAACAAGCAAAGTCAACGGGGAAAACTGGATTCGCCTAACAACTGCATGATTCACTTAACAACTGCAGCTTAACAACCGTGGCAGAAAAAGGGCATGAAATCTGGCGCAACTCACTTAACAGCCATCTTACTTAGCAATGGAAGTTCTGGCCCCGGTTGTGGTCGTAAGTTGAGGACTGTCTGTATTTCATAAAGGCCATCTTAGGTCTAATCAATCCTCATGCTTAGTTTTGTATTAAAGTGAGTGATTTAAAAGTCTCTGAAGAGAAGCAGTGGATCAATAAAGCTACTAATTATGGACAGCTAAAGAAGAAAGGATTAAAGATTAAATTGCCAATATAATATCATTATGTCAGCCTGTGGCACTGTGTATCATTGTAGCCATCCTACCTTACAAAGACAATTTAGTAGTATCCTTTTGGTGGTCCCATCATCTCTAATTCAGCAAGGATATACCAAGAAGTGGACAGCCATGCCATAATCAAGTATGTATTTCCAGAGATGGACTGCCTTTTCAAATAACGGGATACGAAGTCTGAAATAATATTTTTCTTTCTATTTTCTCCCTCTTGTTCTGCAGGATTATAATAAGTTGAATAAGTGTGTATCCTGTTGGGTTTCTGTTCTCTCACCTCAACTTTATTTTCTTATGAACATCAAAGGCTTAATCCAATAGAAAGTGAAAAACCACAATGTGGATCCAGATCAGTGGGGATTCAACAGCCTGTTTAATTCAGTCTGTTGTGTTTTCAAATGTAGCATTAACTCAATAGGGACCAGCTTCTTTGTCTTTTGAGCTGGCTTTCCATCAGAAGGAAAATTAAACTTTGCAGCTAAGTAACTGAGAAATATTGTCCAGGAATGTTTGGCCAAAAGCAAAAGGGTAAAAAAAAATATCCACAAATTAATGTTAGAACATTGAGGAAGTTTCTATTTAGTAACTACTGCTTTGAAGTATATCTTTTGATGTCAGATGTGTAGCTACAGGACATTCCAGTGACTTCCCTCCACTTGAGAAAATTATTTGCTGGAAGAAGTTAGCTTATTTTTGCTATCCATCACTTTTTAAAAAAACACTCATTCAGATTACATTTTCCAAGCTTTTTCTGTCTCAACAACAGTCCATGGACGTTGCAACACCTGGTAGACTACATCTGGACAGGCAATGGTCTTGTGAGCACTACATCTCCCAGCATGCCTCACTATGCACTCTACTATCAGTAGTTGAGACTGCAGGAAGCCACAACAAGAATCATCTCCTGATGTAGATCATGGGATGGTGATTGAATGGAAGAATGTTATTTTATTTTGATTTTTTTCCAATGTGGATAGCTACACATTTCACATGTGTAGGAGCCTCACAACAATTAAAACAACTGGGAATTGGAAGTCCACCCATCTTAAAGTTACCAAAGTTGATAAACACTGGCCTAATTCAAGGGTCAGCAACCCGTGGCTCTGGAGCCGCATGTGGCTCTTTCATTCCTCTGCTGCGGCTCCCTGTCGCTGGTCGGCTCCACAATTGAGAGGGCTTTCAGTTAGGACAAGTAGAGGAAAAAGGAAGCCGCGCTAGGAGGAGACTCTATGGTGGGGGAACTGGACTTCGTCGGCTCCAGAATTGAACAGGGGCTTCCGGTTAGGACCTTTGTGGCTCTTTGAGTGTTTAAGGTTGCCGACCCCTGGCCTAGTTGAAGCATTAGCTTAAGAGAAAACAAGAAAACTTGCTGTTGCCATTGCTGATTCCTGTACTTCTTCTCTTGCCTGCAATAGATTGTCATTAGAGTCTAGACCTCTACAAAGTAGTGGCATCTGCACGGGGGGAGAGGCAAGATGGTGAATGTGGTAATGTTGATACTAGTAGTCCTTTACGTACAACCACAGTTGAGATTTTACAATCTTTTTTGTTGCAATTATTAAGCAAATCCAGTGGTCTTTTCAGATCCAGCTTCTGTTTTGGTACTATGAAAAAAGTTGTCCTGAAAAATCAAAACAAGGTGCAGTAGAGCTGCTCAGGAAGGAAAAGGGTGAAAACTTGTTCCAGGAACCAGTTTCAATTAATTTAAGTTAGAATCCTGATGAGTGGCAGGTCCCTTCTTGGTGTTATTCCCCTTCCTTCAACATCTAGAGTGGCATTTATGGATTGAAGGTGTCTTTGAGATTGGGGGAGGAAAGGAGATTGGAAACTTTCCTTCTATGAACTTCTTCAGTCTGATTCATATGAAAATTCAAGATGATAGATTTAAAGTATAAGCTCATCTCTCTCTGTTTCAAAAATAACTCCAGGCAAAATCACACCTTTTTTTAAGCAGAACAGCAGGTAAGAACTCTAAAAGTTGCACCTCTTCCACAGGCAACATAAGTTTGTTTTCATACTGCACTGCTCCATATGTATGGATGTATATCTTCAAGCATCCTCTCCGCATCGTAGGAGGAGATGTTCTGTCTTCTCAAACAAACTTGCTAATGACTAACAACAATTTCTCTTTTAAAAAAAACATCTGAAATTTGTTTTGGTCAGTTCTCCCTTTGGGTGAAACGAAGCCCTCAACCATGGCTGCCTTTCATCTTGTTTCTTTTTTGAGATGGTTGTCTAAATTTCCCCTCCACGTCTCCTCCCTGCTCCCTCCTTCTCCTCCCCTCTGCAGATTCTGGCCTGGTTTGAGAAAGGAGAAGAAACCACCACAGCCTTTGTGGAGCCTGTTGTGATCATTATGATCCTCATAGCTAATGCAGTGGTAGGAGTCTGGCAGGTATGTTAACGGGCTGGTCACCGACCCGCTTTGATGCGTTTTCAGGTGGGAGGGAGGAAGCAAGTTGTAGCCAATTCACATCAGCTTCAGGTGTGTTTTGATATAATTGCAAGTCTGAATCCAGTCTGTGTCACTTTCACATATTTTTTCCACTAGTATCTGCCAAACGGAGGAGAAAAAAAATCTCCCTCACCTCCCATTTTCTGTGAATTGGAGATATTTATCACAGAAGTTGCTTTTCAAAAGAAATTAATAGTCAATTGGTGGGAACGGCTAAAGACATCTGATGGAAAGCACGGATTCCTTTGAAAATTGGCCAGCTTCCCTCTTAGAGATTTTTTATAATGATTAAACAAGATTGTTTGATTTTCTTTTTTTTCCCCCTCTCTTAATCTCCATCCAGATGATTCTCTTCTCTTCTCTTCTCTTCTCTTCTCTTCTCTTCTCTTCTCTTCTCTTCTCTTCTCTTCTCTTCTCTTCTCTTCTCTCCTCTCCTCTCCTCTCCTCTCCTCTCCTCCCCTCCCCTCCCCTCCCCTCCCCTCCTCTTCCTGTCAGACCTGGAAGCCATCTTTCTACCTTTGGGCCTTCAGGCTTCAGGCCTGCCACAAATCCTACTGTGGGAAATTGGGAGGGGTGATTGCATAGAGGGAAGAAGATATGTAGTCACAATAAAATTCTTTATAGAAAGTCAAGACCATTTTGCCCTGCAGCTGGGCTGAGAGAAATGAGGAGGTATCTTCTGTTTGATTTCGTTACAGGTGTTATTTGGAACCCTGACATTGACCCGAATCCCACTTCAATCTAAAGCAGGTCCCCCAAACTACGGGGTGCTGTCCGGGGTCCTGAGCCCCAAGCGTCAACCCGATACTGGGTGGCGCAAAGACTCAGGGAAGTTGGTGGGGGGAATGACACTCCTCTCCTCCCCTCCCCTCCCCTCTACTCCTTTGATCTACACCATCTCCATAATTCCTCCTCCTCCTCCTCCTTTCTATTTTTGCTGGTGTGTATGCACATGTGAGTGGTTTCTATTTATGCAAGTATATGATCCATACATATAGATGGGAATCACTTAATTTCATCAAGGAAGTTCATTATTTTACAGGCAATTAATTTTAATCAGGAAGCTTTATGCTTTTATTAGAATGATGGGAGTAGCATCATGCTGTCATGATACAATCTCCACACTATGGGATATTACTTTCATGAAGAAAAAGGGTGGGATTTGCATCACAATGGTGCAGTGCATTTTCTCCCTGGTCCCTGTAGTTTCCACTGATTAAGGTCTATTGCCTGGGCCTGTTTCTTTGAGGGGAGAAATCTCCAGGTTTCAGCTGGAGGTGAGGACCATATGTTGACAAAAGGAAAAAGGTGGTGTGTTTCATAGAACTTTAGTCCAAATAATTTTTCCTAATTATTCCTCCTATTGGGGAGGGTTGTATTAAATATAAAGTTAACTTCCTTTTATAAAACGCAATATTTATTGGAGCCTTTCATTTATCAGTTGATGGGGGTCAATCTGTTTGCCTCCTGTCCTTTGTACCGTATTTTTTGGAGTATAAGACACACCTTTTTGCACCCAAAAGAGGGTGAAAATCTGGGTGCGTCTTATAGTCCGAATGTAGCCCCGCCCAGCCTCTGAAACAGAGGTTTCAGAGGCTGAAAAAAAAGCAAGGCACAGAGCTCACAACCAACGAACCTGTTGCTAAAGTTCACCTCTGGAAACAGCTGATTGGGGTTATTCCAGGAGGCCGATCCACCCCCAATCAGTTTTTTTCTTATTTTCCTCCCCAAAAACCAAGGTGCGTCTTAAACTCCGGTGCGTCTTATAGTCCGAAAAATACGGTAGTTTCATACCTATAACAGAATACAGAATGGAATACAGAATAACGAAGTTGGAAGGGACCTTGGAGGTCTTCTAAGTCCAACCCCTTGCTCAGGCAGGAGACCCTATACCCGTGATGGCGAATCTATGGCACGCATGCCAAAGGTGGCACGCAGAGCCCTCTCTGTGGGCACGCGTGCTGTCATCAGCTGCTCTTATGGTTTCCGGCGCGTGCATGCACACTGGCCAGCTGGTCTTTCGGTTTCTGGCACTCCGGCGTGCGCATGTTCTGGTTTGAGCACTCGGTGCCGAAAAGGTTCGCCATCACTGCCTTATATCATTCCGGACAAATGGTTTTCCAATCCCTTCTTAAAAACCTCCAGTAATGGAGCACCCACAACTTCTGGAGACAAGAAGCCGTTCCACTGATTAATTGTTCTCACTGACAAGAAATTTCTCCTCAGTTCTAAGTTGGATTTTTCCTTAATAGGTTTCCATTTGTTACTTCTTGTCCTGCCCTCAGGTGCTTCGGAGAATAGTTTGACCCAATCCTCTCTATGACAGCCCTTCAAATAAATCATTCATCTTTTCCATTCAGTTCCTGCACAATTCTGCATTTTTAAAAGACAAGCACACAGATTTGTATTTATCTCTATGCCAATTTCCTTTGCATAGTTTGTGTATAATATTGAAGCTAAGAGATGCCCTGTTCTGTTTTGGATGTTGCAGCCTGAAAAATAAATGTTGGTCTAGATATTAATCCAAGTAGTTTAACTTAGAGGAGTTAATTTAAAAATAAAGATCACTTTCAGCTCTAGCCTTGCATACCATTGTCTCTCCTCACAAATTCATACAAACATAGAAGAGAATGCAATTTTTATTGAACACATGCCAAATTGACATTGGCTGGAAATATATTTTCGAAAGTAAATGAGGTTACAAAAATAGCTGGGGCAACTTTTTTAAAGAAGGCAATTGATGACAAATTTGTTCCAAAGGCACATATGCTAATGTTTCCAAAATAGTCATTTGAAAGAAATAAAAGAATTACCAAAATAATCCAATATGAAACAATGCAACCAGAACAGAAGGAACCTAATTCAACAATCCAACAAACCAAGTGGATATTTTCTATCTGCAGAATAGCATCACAATACTAGTCCATAGGGTTGCAAAACAAGATATGCAGCAGCACTCCTGGGCAGTCACCGAAAAGGCCCTGCTTGTGGTACATACCATCTGTATCTGGATGGGGTAGTTCTTTTATTTTAATCTCAACTGGAAAAATGTTCTCCTCTGAGACATATAGATTGTTCAGAAGACTTTTTTGGTCACCGCATTATAAAAAAGATGCTGAGACTCTAGAAAAAGTGCAGAGGAGAGCAAGCAGGAAGATTAGGGGACTGGAGACTAAAACATATGAAGAACGGTTGCAGGAACTGGGCATGGCTAGTCTAGTGAAGAGAAGGACCAGGGGAGACATGATAGCTGTATTCTAATACTTGAGGGGCTGCCACAGAGAGGAGGGGGGTCAAGCTGTTTTCCAAAGCACCTGAAGGCCAGCACAAGGAATAATGGACGGAAACTGACCAAGGAGAGATTCAACCTAGAAATGAGGAGGAACTTTCTGACAGTGAGAACAATCAACCCATGGAACAGAAGTTGCCTTCGGAAGTTGTGGGAGCTTCATCACTTGAAACTTTCAAGAAAAGATTGGACTGCCATCTGTCAGAAATGGTGTAGGGTCTCCTGCTTGAGCGGGGGTGTTGGACTAGATGACCTATAAAGTCCCTTCCAACTCTATTAATCTGTTAATCTGACTTCTAAATTGGAAAAGGAGCCTTGGTAGTACAGTGGTTTAAAGCACCCTGTTATTAACACAGCTGCCTGCAATTACTGCAGGTTCGAATCTTACCAGGCTCAAGGTTGACTCAGCCTTCCATCCTTTCTAAGGTAGGTTAAATGAGGACCCAGTTTGTGGGGGCAATAAGCTGACTTTATATAAATATACAAAAGTATGAAGGCTATTGCTTAATGCATTGTAAGCCACCCTGAGTCTCCGGAGAAGGGCGGCATATAAATCAAATTAAAAAAAAAAAAAAAGTTCCAGTTATAAAAAGCTGTTTTTGTTTTTTGCAGGAGAGGAATGCTGAGAGTGCAATTGAGGCCCTAAAAGAATATGAACCAGAAATGGGGAAGGTGATCAGAGCAGACAGGAACGGAGTCCAGCGGATCCGAGCTCGAGACATTGTCCCAGGCGATATTGTGGAGGTAGCAGGTACAATCTCAGCCATTGGCTTGCCTTGTGGATCTAATGTTGACCTATGTTCTTATATCATAAGATCCACACGAAATAGGCCTTCTGCTTATTTGCCTTCAAATGTCAGCAGCTGTACTTTACTTATGCTATAATAAAGGTTTATTAGTTATTGGGAACTTTTGAGAAGTTTACCCATGCTAGTCTGTGGCAGCAAACATAACAAATCATCTTATAGCATCTTGGATGGCACAGATGGCACCTTGCATCCGTGTTATAACAAATAAATTTGTAATCTTTTTAAAAGATGCCATGGTTTTATTTTATTTTTTTTGTTCTCGCTTTTGGGTTGTTTCCTATATGGGCATCACTTTCTTATTGAAAAAGGATCTTTCAAAGTAGTTGACAAACTAAAAGAATAATCAAAAGAGCCACTCCCAATACCGAAATTTATAAAAATATGCATCAGGAATATTTACCAGTGTTGGAGAAGTTAATGACGATGATTTATTCATATTGTATTGTTCGTGTGTTTTAGAAAGGATATGACAGATATTTGTTTTAAAGAATTTAGAATCTAAAGAAAAAAGAAAAAAAGGTGGAGGGAAAAATATGTCATTATTCTTACAATGCATACATTGTTTAGGTACGTATCATACCTAAAATATAGTATTATCCAGACAAAGGTTGAATATATATAGTAATAAATAACAGTTAAACCGAAGCTAGTAGCTTTTTCAGGCCCAAGTCTGGAAAATAAATAATGAGAGGGGAGAGAAAGAGAGACTCATTTTATATAATATCCTGGGCACCCAAATAAACAGCTGATTTCAGTGAGAATGAAGGAGATTTTGACATTATCTTGTCTGATCTCAGGAGATTTCAGTATTCTCATTAGAGATCTGTATAAGATTTCAATGGTCTTTATTTTTATTGGGGGGAGATATCCAAGAGCCTTGGTGGCGCAGCAGACTAAAGTGCTGTTAACTAGCACCAGCTCCTGCAATTACTGCAAGTTCGAATCTCACCAGGCTCAAGATTGACTCAGCCTTCCATCCTTTCGAGGTAGGTAAAATGAGGACCCGGTTTGTGAGGGCAATAAGCTGACTTTGTATAAAAAGAACACCGCTTGGGGGGGGCCAAAAGCCCAACTAAGCAGGTATATACAAAAGTATGAAGGCTATTGCTTAACACATTGTAAGCTGCCCTGAGTCTCCGGATAAGGGAGGCATATAAATCGAACCAATAAATAAATAATAAATAAATATCAAAATCCAAGAACACTTTGTAGTTCTTCTAAACAGTTTTCTTTATTATTCCTCTCCTATAAACAGAATCTTACCAAACAAAAACCACTGCCCCATAAAACATATATTCTGGAAATTATTAGGGAGGAGCCATCTTCACCCTCTTTCTGTCACAGAAACAGTGTTGTCTCTTGCCCCTCTGGAATTCATTCCCTCCCTCCCTGGAAATCTGGACAATATTCCATCACAGGAGATGAGGTGTATGGATACCTCAGTTAAAATAAAATAAAAGCAAAACATTATTTGAATTAGAAGTGAGCTAAACTTTTTCAGAATACCGTTTTCCCTGTGATCTTTTCTTTCTCACCTCAGATTAGAATTTTCTGAGAATAGTTCTATCAGAGTTTGTGAAATCACCATTTTCTACTTCCAGTGCCAAGAAGGAAGAATCTAGAATCTTGCAAGGCTGTTAACACAGTTGCTGTTGCAATCATTTGCGGCAATGGTAAAAAAAAAAAAAGTCAAAGACCTTAGAAAAAAGAACTAATATATGGACAATACTACCCCATCACAAAGTAATGAAAAGTATTTTCTCTTTCTTAGAAAAATTGGACAATTTTGAATGGACACGGTAATAGTTTGTAGTGGTATTTTTGACAAAAATGTTTAAAAATGACTGCAGAAGTATTGATCTGGAAAAGAAATGCCATTCTACATGGTATGCAATGATATTTTTTAAAAAATAAAGCTTTTGTCCCTTATCAGGTCTGTTCCTAATCCAAATTTCCACTGGCCACATATTTATCTTTAAGGAAAACAAACCTGTTGGAAGATAAATGTCCCATTTTGCAGTAAATATAGGACTACTTCAAATTCAGACTGCATGGGAGTGTGATATAGCACCTGTCTGCAGCTCTTTAAAGCAGCTGCATCATTTCTTGGGATTGCAGTGGTTGCTCACTCTTGGGAAAAGGAGCAAAAGATAACTTACAGAAGAGTTGTAAACAGGTGTCAGATCTCTGACATTCTCAGAGGCACATTCACATTCTCTGAAGCATCTGTTTGGAATCAAATTCAAAGCTTTGCAAATACCTATTAAACATTGCTTTGTAAATCTCTTGTTATTTTGTAAATGACCGAAGCTGGATTTCAGGCACACATCCTTTTTAATAGCAAACTGTCTCATTATTTTTCCATCTTTTAGTTGGCGACAAAGTGCCTGCTGACATCCGAATCATTGAGATCAAGTCCACAACACTGAGGGTAGATCAATCCATTCTTACAGGTAGGCATTTTGTTCCTTCTATGAACATAGGTAGAAGTGAAATTTGGAAAGCCCTAAATCAGGGGTGTCAAGCCCGATTTCATTGAGGGCTGCATCAAGGTTGTGTTTGACCTCAGGGGGCTGGATGGGCGTGGCCAGGGTGGGCATGGTCAGCTCGACATCACTCGTGTCAGGGGCGCCTGTGGCTGCCCGAGCGCTCTGCCAGCAAAAATGGGCTCCCGAGCTCCGTTTTTGGCCACAACAGCCTCCTGTAACCCTCTGCCAGCAAAAATGGTGCTCGCTGTTTCCAGGGCAGCCCCGAGGGCCAGATCTAAGCACTTGCTTGAATTTGACACTCCTGCCTTAAATGAAGGTTAAAATGAAAGCAGTAAAATCCTAACAATGTCATCATCATTTGCATGGGATGCTTTTCCACAGGTTAAAGTAAGATATGAATGAAGGCAAATATACATGTCCCAGGATAATGTTGTAGGATCCAGTCTGGGTCAGTGATTTTGGACTCGTGCTGGAGCCCCTCCTCAGAGAACTTGTCTCTCACCAGAATATGTCTCTCACATTCTGGTGAGAGAAAAGTTCCCTGAAGATGGGTTCTAGCATGAGTCCGAAAGCTCTGGACTCAAGGACGACCCAGGTTGGATTCTAAAGTTAGATAGGCCTATTTGTGGCCTCCAGGTGGCATGCTTGTTGATGCAGGCGGGATTTATGGTCCAAAGCATCTGGTGAACACTAGATACCTTATCCTAGTAAGCAGTAGAAATGAGGAAAAAAATCTGTCCTCCTTGCGTTTCCTAGTCTTGCCCTGCCTCTTATCTCAGCATTGGGTTGCATACTTGGTCGAATGTATGATTTGTGATTCAAGTTCATTCCAAGCTTGAAACATCTTATTAGACAAGTCACTCTTAACTTTTGAAGGAAAAATGAATTTCAATATTCTCTTTTTTTTCTGCAGGCGAATCTGTCTCCATCATTAAACATACTGATCCAATTCCAGACCCAAGGGCTGTTAACCAAGATAAAAAGAACATGCTTTTTTCTGTAAGTGTCCTCAGCTCACCTTATAAGCCTGCCTTGCTTCTGGCATGAAGCTTCTCTGTCCTCGTGTCTCTGGGAAATCACCGCATATGATTGACAAATGGTAGAAACCTAAGTGGATTATATTATGTTAGGCTATAAATAGGTAAATAGGAGTCACTGTTTTTTGAATGCAACCCAATAAAAAAGCAGCACAGCCAAGAATAATTTGTATCTGATGTTCTACATATTTTTGTTGGATGTTTGTTTTTGGAGAACTAATACCTCCCTCCCACTTCCCTGCAACTGCCTTCTAGTGTGTCGCAAATTATTCGGATTGTCGCTTCACATTCAGTTAGTACAGGTAGTTTTCAACTTACTTGAAGTTATAGTGGACCTCCCAAAAAGTATTTATGATCCAGTTCCAAATTTCCAACTCCCTCCCCCCCACCCCAAATGCAGGCAACTGACTGCATTACGTTCACTGGTAACTGTCTGCATTTATGACTGCTTGCAGCATCCTGTGATCACGTGACTGCAATTTATGACATTTTTGTTGAAAACCCGAACATCGCAATGGGTTTGGTTAATGACTGCAGCATTTGCTTAATGATCATGGATTTACTTAGCAGCCATATTGATTTGCTTAACAAGTGCCATCAATAAGGTCACCAAATCAGATCGGTCATGTGGGTAACCCACTTTATGACTGTCACTGTTTAAAACCATAATGGGCTGACTCCATTATAGTTGTAAGTCGAGGACTACCTGTATATGAAGGCCAGCCAACCTTTTTAAAGCTGAGAATTGCCATTGCCCTGGAGGTGATCAACAGGAGAATGGGCAAAATTGAAGGCAGCAATGGGTGATGACACAAACCAAAAAAGAACGGAGATGAAATTTAGATATGTAACCCATAGACAAACAAATCTGGTTGGGAGGTAAGTAACCCCTTTTCTCTGTGCTGCTGTCCTTTATTTTCTCCTTCTGTTACCTTTTTCTTGTGCAGCCAGCTGCATAGAAGGTCTGAATTGTTTTATAGATAGATTATGAAGTTAATCTAATCATCATTCTGGTAGTCCAATCTTTCTGGTTACATAGCTTTCGGACATTGTCAGATTATATCAGGGGAGCCAAACTGGACCAGAGAGCCACCTGTAAGTTCTAAAAAGTTGAAATGTGGGGGCCAGTATCAGGGCTCAACTGAAATTGGGGTAATCTCTTCAATGGGAAAATGGTAGAAAATGTAAACAAATGTCCATCATCAGTGGCTAAAATGAAGCCTTGAGAAAAGAGGAAAATAATTCTTCTGAGAGATTAGAACTGCAAGAGAATATGAAGAGTTTGAGAGCTGAGTGGATATAAATCTGGACTTCCATTGTTGTTCATTTAGAGATTGCCAACTGTCTTTTAAGGATACTATTTCTTGCAATACTGTACATACAAGATGTAGTTTTTAGTAATGTTCATCCATGTCTTCATGACAGTCCAATATCCAGAGATCTCTAAAAGTTGTTACCATATTCTAAGAACTTTCCTTAACTGGAGAGTTATCATATTAACAATGTTTCATTTTGATGAAATGAAATGAAAACGAAAAAGTTTAGCTGTTTTCTTGGCCCCCACCTACTCATCTACTATTTTTGTGTGAAACCCTCAAAAGCCACTGTCGGGCTACAGGTAGCCCTGGTCTGCCAGAAGGTGTTGTTCAGAAGCTGAACGTAGGCTTCAGTGAGAGAACCTCATCTAAAAAGTTATCTGAGGGACTGTCTCTTGACCGGTCACATCTACCTGGCCCACTAGATCGGGGAGGCAAGGAATGCTGTGGGTCCCATCCCCTAGGGAGATACAGAAGAAAGGCCTTCTCCGTGGTGGCTCCCTTTCTTTGGAACATTATTCCCCCAGAGATTAGAATGGACCCCCACTTTAACACTCTTCTGGAAGGCGCTGAAGACCTGGTTCTGCCAGCGGGCCGGGGGAACCCAGAGCAGGATGGAGCCCATTAAATGGCTGATGTGATGTGTTGACTCCAGGGTGAGGGGCTATTATATTATTTTATTAATTTACTATTTTATTATTTTCTTTTATTAGCTTTATTTTTTTCATATATATGATGTTTTAATAACCCTGTAAGCCTCCCTGAGTCGCCATGTGTGAATAGGCGGCAATATAAATGTTCTAATAATAATAAAATAATTTAAAAATATATCTTTTCTCTTCCTAAGGGAACCAACATCGCTGCAGGCAAAGCTGTTGGTGTTGTCATCGCCACTGGAGTGTACACAGAGATTGGGAAAATCAGGAATCAGATGGTGGCCACGGAGCCCGAGAAGACCCCTCTGCAACAGAAGCTGGATGAGTTCAGCCAGCAGCTTTCCAAGGTTATCTCCCTTGTCTGCATTGCAGTCTGGGTCATCAACATCAGCCACTTCAGCGACCCCGTGCATGGTGGCTCCTGGTTTCGCGGTGCCATTTACTATTTCAAGATCGCCGTGGCTTTGGCAGTGGCTGCCATCCCTGAAGGACTTCCTGCAGTTATCACCACTTGCCTGGCATTGGGCACCCGTCGGATGGCCAAAAAGAATGCCATTGTCAGGAGCCTCCCCTCTGTGGAAACCCTAGGATGCACTTCCGTCATTTGTTCTGACAAGACAGGCACCCTGACGACCAACCAGATGTCCGTCTGCAGGGTGAGTCCTGAGTTGTGTGGGATAGTAGACATCAGTGCCAAATTAATTTCTGCATTCTCAGTTTGTTGCAATGCTTCTAGTTTGGTTAAGGAGCTTGATTATTTGAAGAGGTTGTTTTTATTTGCTCTGTATTTGTTGGCGTGCTTTGCCAGCAAAACCAAGGAGTTGGAGTAGCCAACTAGGTTTTCTACAGCAACATTTCTGAACATCCACATTTATAAAACAGATGTAAAAACAGAGGTAGCATAGCCCCAATAGAAGAGCTGTACCACTACGACAGAGGTCTTCAAACTTGGCAGCTTTAAGACTTGTGGACTTCAACTCCCAGAATTCTCCAGCCAGCATAGCTTCTGAGAATTCTGGGAGTTGAAGTTCACAAGTCTTAAAGCTGCCAAGTTTGAAGACCTCTGCACTACGACAATGTTTGAATTATTGGGGTAGAGGAAGACAAGCCCTATGTCCATAGCATTTATTTATTTATTAGATTTTTATTCCAACTTTATAACTCAAGGGGGTGAACGTACATAATACTCCTTCTTCTCCTATTTTCCCCACAATAACCCTGTGAAGTGAGTTGGGCTGAAGAGAGAGTGACTGGCCGAAGTTATTCAGCTGGTTTTTTCATGCCTAAAGCAGGACTAAAACTTTTAATCTCCTGGTTTCTAGACCAACACTTTAACCCCGTGATGGCGAACCTATGGCACATGTGCCACAGGTGGCACACGTAGCCATATCAGTAGGCATGTGAGCTCAGGTCCGGCGCGCATGTGCGTGCTGGCCAGCTGATTTTCAGGTCTGGGCCCACCAGAAGTAGGGAAACAGGCTCTTTCCTGCCTCCGGAGGGCCTGGGGGAGGGTGGGGAAGGCCCATTTTTCTTTTTCACCTGGCTCCAGGGCTTCTCTAGGTCGGAAGTTGTCAAACGGGCCGTTTTCGGCCTCCGGAGGACTTCCCAGGGGTGGGGGTGGGGAAAGCCGTTTTCGCCCTCCCCAGACTCCTAGAGAGGCCCTGGAGCCAGGTGAGAAAGAAAAAGGGGCCTACCGGACCATCACATGCCAGGAGTGGGGGGGGGGCAGGGGTCGCACATGCATGCACAGGGGCAGGGCACATAGAATTATGGGTGTGGGCACGCGTGCGCGCATCCCCTCCCCCCCTCCTGGCACACAATGGCAAAAAGGTTAGCCATCACTGCTTTAACCACTACACAAAACTAGCTCTCTGGTATCACAACAGTATTACAGAATTGGAAAGGGGCACTTGGGTCTTGAGTCCAAACTCCCACTGAGGGCAGGAATTTAAATCTTTTCCATCCAGGAGAAAGCAGGACTTATTAAATGGATTTATTTGGAAACTTTTGTTCCACCATTGATCCCCCAATTCGCCAGGAACAGCTTATATTTCAATATCAAACAATATCGTCCTTGTTCTTGGCTGTATACACACAAGGAAAAAGAATGGGGAAGAAAAAAAAGAGAAGGCCTCTCAGCCACCAGATTTTAAAACTTCAGAATTCTTATAAGAACCAACTAAGATGAAAAGAGGAGGAAAAGTCAGAAAGAGCTTTAAGATTTAGGAGATAGTTTTGGATCCATAAATCGGATCTGGAAGCAGCTTTTTGCTGATTAAAATTATCATCTTTGCCATGTAATGGATAATCTACTTGGATTCATGAAACATATGTGTTTATACTTTTCTCTCTTTCCTTCCAAGCTGGCCAGGAATTTTAAATTGAAATGCTGAATTTATATCTAAGTCTAAGATTTAATGTTGTGTCTTGAACTGTGTACAACTGTGATCAAGTGCATTGTTTTTATAGAGCGTAAAGGAGAACACGTTAATTGGGTGTTTGCTGTTAAGTTCCATATTCCCCACCTTAAAAGTTTCTAGGCTGGGTGCACATAGTGTAACTCTGAATTCTAGCCAACAAAGAACCTTGACATGTGTTTGGCAAGAGGAGAATGAAAGTGCAGATCTTCGAGCTGCTTACATCACCTGTGTGTCCCTGGTAGCTAATGTGTGAAAAAGGAAATGCCTATGTATTACATATAAAAAAGATGTTGAGACTCTAGAAAAAGTGCAGAGAAGAGCAGGATGATTAGGGGACTGGAGACTAAAACATATGAAGAACGGTTACAGGAACTGGGCATGGCTAGTCTAGTGAAGAGAAGGAACAGGGGAGACATGGTAACAGTGTTCTAATATTTGAGGGGCTGCCACAGAGAGGAATGGAGTCAAGCTATTTTCCAAGGCACCCAAAGGCCAGACAAGGAATAATGGATGGAAACTGAACAAGGAGAAGTTCAACCTGGAAATAAGGAGAAATTTTCTGACAGTGAGAACAATCAACCAATGGAACAGAAGTTGCCTTCAGAAGTTGTGGGAGCTTCATCACTGGAGGATTTCAAGGGGAGATTGGACTGGCATTTGTCGGGGATGGTATAGGGTCTCCTGCTTGGGTGGGGGGATTGGATTGGATGACCTACGAGGTCCCTTCCAACTCTGTTAATCTATGTTACATATTCTGACAAACAGCCCTCAAAATTCTTTTCACTTAAAGGTCTCAGGGTCTAGCTAGCTTCAATGAAAGGCAAATTGTATGCACAATCACAGACACTCTTGATATGTACTTGTTATCCATCCATTATCCTAGAAAACTACCTCGCACATTACCAGATACTAAATGTATATATTTTGCACTGCTTTCTAAATTAGGGTTTGTGTAATCATGGCTTTATGAATCATGGATTCTCATCTGGTTTGCAAATCTCTAAATCTCCAAACAGAACAAACTGTCAGCGTTCCAGAAAACCCCCCAACTCCAAGTAAAATCTCTGAAGCAAGCATTTTTCAAAGTTCTATTTACTAGAATAGATAAACTGGCACATCTGGGAAAACCCGAATCTGAGAGATGCAGGTTTTCCCTCAGTAAATCAAAACCCCCAAAACCATCCCCTCACTCCTCAGTCGATCACATGCTCCGATCACCATCTGTCCCATCTCAAGACAGCACTCTGACCACTCCTTCTCCAGATGCAGGATCGCCCTGACCTTGACCGACAGGAAGAAGGCTATTATGTCTAAAGACAACCCCTCTACTAAATCCCCCCTCCTACTTTCCCACACATGAGAAAGTGGCAGCATGGAAGCTTCCGGCCTAATATGGCTTCCAAAGCTGATGTAAACTATAATATAGTGTAGAACAAGGTGCAGCCCAGCCCATTTATCCATCGCTGTTCACTTTATCTAGTGACAATTCTCGAGAAGGAATTGCGAAACCCTCAGAGGCTCCTGCTTTTGTGAATCCAGGAGGAAAGGTGAACCAGCCAACCAGACAATAGTTGTGCATGTTCTAAGAAGGCTAGCACCATTTTGCCCTAATCCTCCAGAAAGTCATAAATTGCCCGATGCAGTTGCAAAAAGTTTGCCCACAAACAAAACAGCAGGTTGGAGTGTTCCCTTTTAAAGCACACCTTGGTTATCATTCTTTCTAGTTTTGTTTTTGTTCCAACTGGCAAATGAAGTATTTGCATAAAGCTTTTTTCTGGGATCAGGAGGCAAATTAATGCTTGGACTTGGAAGGGGGGAGGCGGCTGTTCACTGTTTCCTTAGCAATGCAGCCTCGTGAATGGCCTGCAGTAATTTTGTGCATCCAGCGTGGGGGAGGCAGCAAGCCGTTGGATGATAAGATGATGGGGGTCATACCCAGCAGTGGAAGCAGCACTTACTAATGAGATGGTGGGAGGAACAGCTCATCTCTCGAGGAACCTGTTTTTAGCCCTGGCCTGCTGGGGTGGCATTTTCTTGGGTCTAGTATGACTGGCAAGTAGCAAATCAGCGCCTTGTCTCCCCAAAAATCATAGGAATGAGTGTCGGATGCTACATGTTTTTTAAAAAAACCAAAATCAAACACATTTGCGCCCTGTTTATTTGCTTGTTTTTTGTTTACTACATTTATAGGATGCAAGTCCCGTGAATAATAAATAAAACAGAGCCATGTAAAAGAATAAAAGCATAATTGGATTATTTTAGATTATAGGATCAAGATGACAAATGTGGCTGACAGAGAAGAAAATAAGGGCACGTATGAGTTTTTAGAAATGTTCCATTTTTAGTTTAAGCAGCCATGTTACTTTGGCACTGAAATTGGAAATCCCACAAGTGTTCATTCCTTCTAAGGTGGTCATAATGCAGTACCAGTACATTAATCACTATTAAGTATATTGCAGTAGTAATACAGTAGTTGTAACAGTTCCGTTTTCAGGACTCTGATGGTTGCCAAACATAATTCTTCCCCCTTCCTAACTACAGACCCCTGCCTGGGAAAAAGGCAGCCTGAAAATATGTTCACAATCAAACTAGCAATCCATGACCCATTGGATCATCGTTTCAAAAATATTTCCTACCTAAACAGAGTAATCAGGGGCAAAAAAACAGTGGGAGCAGAAGCGATTTCCAACTTCCTGCTGGCCTGACCACAGCTGACTGCTCTGCAACTAATGGTGGGACAGGTCTACCAAATCTCTGGAGGGCTAGGGCAGGACCAATCCACTTGATCTCCAGTATTAGAAAGAGCTGGTCGTCTACCTAATGTCCCGAGGGCTAGGACAAGTTCTTCTGAACTTCTGAGTGGTGGCATGGCAGCACAGAAGTATTGAAGCAACTATAAATTTGTCAATTTTCAATCCCACAGAAGTTATGGGTCCCAGATTTTGGACACATCTGGTAAAGTTAGCCCATTTGAGGTACTTTGGTTCAAAAATTGTTGCCCTATGAGGCATTGTTTCAACCAGTTGAAGGTAACAGACAATAAGGGTTTCAGTAGTATATAGATAAGTTCAGGATTCTGAGAACATTACACTTTAAGCATTTTGAATTCATTTAAAATTAATAGATTGAAAGCCCCACTGGTCCATGGAGCTCACTGAGAGATGCTGGGCCAGTCAAAATCTTTCAGTCCAGACCATTTCAAAGGGGTACTTTGGGGGGAATGAAATAAATAAAAT